CCTTGATCCTAACAAAATAAAAATATTACCAAAAAGCAAGGATTAAAACACATGGACATGCAAGAATGAACTCAAATTCAACTGAAAGTTTAGAGAGTTAGAAAAGGGAGCTTTGTGCAAATTCACCTGCTTGATTTTTCTCATTTCATATTCTTGCTTAAATTGGCTTGACTGTTCAGTCTCCTGTAGATACTCATCATCAAATCTTCCATCTACCATTAATAGAAAACAAAACGCAATATATTATATTAATCCCATAAGCACTTTCAAGCGTCAACCTTAACACTAACAAATGTAGGTTTATTTTCCAAATGCCTGACAAATAAATTCAAACACACACCTGAATCAAATTTTATCTCTTGGCGAGTAGCTGAAGAAGTCCAACCAGATGTCCAACCCCCATTCTTTTTAGCTGCAGGGGTTCCATCTGGTATGGATTGAATTCTATCAGGCAAAGCAAGGACTAAATCATTACGAGCCGAAAGTTCCTCAATTGAAAGCCCTTTCACCTGCATTACATAAGAATAACTAAATAAGTAATCATATTGTAATAAAAATGAAATAAAATAAAATAAAAACCAAGACAAAATGCAAGATATAATGGCTTTGATTAAAATCAAAATACAATGTTTTCACCATTCAACCACTGGCAAATCTAGGAGCAGGCCTACCCAGGCCACAACCCGCCTCATTGCCCAGAATATCTATAAAAGGTATTGACTTGGTCGTTTTACAGAAAAATGGGTTAGCATACTTGATTCTTGTTTGATGCAACAATTCAAATCCTAGTGGTAGTAGCTTTACTCGATTTGCTTCTGTTGACACTAATTTCAGAGTTATACGGATTTATTTAAAATATATCTTTTTATGTGATAAGCATATTACATTTTTCTTATTAATTACTTTGGCGTTTTTTTACCCCTCTTTCTGTTTAGGAATTTTTTTTCTCCTAATTCTTTGAGAAAGCTCTGTAGTTTACGGCTTTACGCCCTGCCCAATCTTAAAATCCTGGTCCACTTATGCATTCAACCTCAAATAATTTAGCATCAACCTCAAATAATTTAGCATCACATAAACATAGTCAAAAAACTTCGCCATCAACAGAACCTCAAAATGCAACGAAACTAATTTCATAATACCAATTCAATCTACAAAAAAAGAAAGTATAATTCAGTGTCGTTCTACCTATTTAGTTCTTCAACTGTATTTGCTAGTAGAAACTACAGACATTTCAGAGTTTCAAGTAAACACAGATCCAGCAAAATTTGAAAAAAATTGGCAACAAATCAATTGAAATTGCATAAAATCAAATTAAGTAGCATCACAAACCAAAAATGAAGAAAATTACACACCCTTTTTTGAGCCAAGCGCTGCAATTTAGGCACTTCTTCAAGTAATCGACCTTTAATTCGACGAATCTCAGCATTCAATGCCACAACCGACGCCCTATTCGACTCATTTGCAGCTGTTTCAGCTTTTCTGAAAAGTAAAAATTCCCCAATTCAACAACCATAAATTCAATTAAAATCCTAAATCAAGCAAAACCAAACAATGAGAGAAGGAGGAGCAAAAGACCTGATAGGCAGTTTCGATGTCGGATTCGACGGAAGAGTAGAGGCGGGCAAACGCGTCGTCGCCGGAAACATTGGAGTCTCGTTGCTTTTCGACGTCGTATTTGTCGTACTTCTGGCAGATCGCCTCAACTCTAGTGAGAATGTTGATCACACTCATTGTTACGCCGCCGAAGATCTTTAGCTTACAACCGTCAGGGGAGTATGAGAGAGAGAGGGGACACAATTTGTGAGTGACAGGCAAAAAACAGGTCGGAAAAGAATGGAATTCAAATATTTTTACAGTTTTTTTTTGTTTTAATATTACTCATACCATTTTTTTTTTTGGGTGTTTAGAGAAGCAAGGCGTGGGCGATGAGAAATCGATCACAAATTTTCTTGTAATTAGGTAACTACTTGAGCTATTTTTCACTCAAAACATACTCGTAGTACTAGTTCTATATGCACGCTTTGTGTGCGTTAATTTCAGGAATTCACTATTAATTTAACTAACATATTTAAATATATATAGTTTTTGTTATAATATAGATAGGCAAGATCAAAGCCTTTATTTTATTACTTGTATTGTATTATGTAAAGTACATAGATTTTGTAAGATCATCTATTTATACTAGAACAACTAGAGTAACACCACGCCTTCATTAGTGGTGTAACTAATGGAGGTGTTACTCTTCCATTAGTAATGTAGCTATAGAAGATGTAAATAAGGTGTCAAATTCATTTAATATGGATGTTTTATTAACACTTCTTCTTGGATGTACACTTTTTACATCTTTTGCAATACTACCTCATTAAAAATCTTACATGGAAAATCTTGTGAGACAAAAATCATAACAAAAGAAAAGAGTACATTTGCATATTATAATTCTCCCCCTTAACTTAGCATACATCTCTCATACGTCATATACCAATCATGTATGAGTTTTGTGAATACCTTCATATGTAATGACTTTGTAAACAACACTGCTAAATTTTTATCTAAGAGAATTTGTTGGACATCAATTTCGCCTTTTACTTGTAATTCATGGGTATAGAAAAATTTAGGTTTTATCGCTTTAATACACTCTTTTTTAATCTAAGCGATACAAGCGGTATTATCCTCAAATATTATTGTCGATTTTTCCTTAACCGATGTCAAGCCACATGACTTTCGGATATAGTGAATTAATGATTTAAGCCACACACATTCTCATCCTGATTCATATAATGAAATCAATTATGTATGATTTAACGAGGTGGCAGTTAAAGTCTATTTTGTTGAACGCCATAAAATGGCAGTTCCACCATATATGAACAAATACCCTATTTGAGATATGGCTTTGTGTGGATCAGATAAATAACACAGCATTTTCATATCCAACCAATTGGACATTACTTGAATCTTCATTTTTTTATTTTAAGTTTTTTTTAAAAAAAATAAAATAAAATAAAAAGCCTCATATCTAAAGCTGTCAAAAGCTGACCCGACCTGAACCCGATTATAAACCGACCCGTCTAAACCCGGAAAAATGATGACCCGAACTCGATATGACCCAACCTGAAACCAACCTTAGACCGAGTTAACCTGAGTATTTGAGACCCGAACCCAAACATGAACCTGACCTGGAGATGACCTGACCCGAATATAACCCGTAAAATATTGACTTGAACCAAACCCGACCTGAACCGAAATTGACCCAAACCCGTTTTAACTCGTCAAAACCCGAATTTAACCCGACTTGAATTCAACCCGACCTATTCCTAACTCGACCCGAATTTAACTCGACCTATTACTAAACCCGACGCGAATTTAACCTGACCTATTACTAACCCAACCCGAAATTCAACCCGATCTGTCACTAACCCGACCCGAAATCAACCCGACTTGTTATTGACTCAAAATTAACTAACAATCTAGGATTACGTCACATCTTTTTTTTTCCCCTAATTCTATGAGTTATTTTCCTATTTAAGCTTATTCAAATATTTTCAATAAAATTCTCTATTATCAAATGTATTACAATTTATATGTCTCAAAAAAACCTATAAATTTTTGAATACCTCTAATTTTTGGATGCATGTGCATTCTTTATTTAAATTTAGTAATTACGATTTACGAATACTACTACTTTTTAGGTGCAAGTTCATTCTATATTTCAATTAAGCAATTATGGTTTACGAATACTACTACTTTGTAGGTGCATGTGCATTAATGTAGTCAATTACGGTTTTACAAATACTATTTGACCTTTGGCTTGTTTGTTTTATCTTATATTTTATTTTTAAAAAAATCAAATAAAAAAAAGTTTAAAAATATTATAATTTCGAATAATGATTGAATTGAATGTGATAATGATTGAATGCGAGCATGAGTATATAACAATGACCGATGATAATCTGACCTAAATAATTTACCTGTACCCGATCATGACTTGACTTGTCTAGACTCGAGAAAGTGGTGACCCGAACTAGAGCTGTTAAAAGGCTTTTATTGGTCTTTTATTTTTTCTAATTTTATTATTCATTTGCCTATTTATTCTTATTTAAATGTTTTGAATAACGCCATTTAAATGTTTAAAAAAATGCCATTAAAAAAAACATAAACCCGGACATGAACTTATAAAAAATAAACAAGTTTAGATAATTTCAAATAAAATAAGTTTAGAAAGAAAAAAATTATTGTATTTTAACTTATCTAAACTAAACCTATTTTATCCGAATTTATACGAACTTATTGTATTTTATCTTAACATTTTCATCTCGAATATGAACTTATCTGAAATTGGTATCCCTAAAATGAGTGGAATCAATGTGAATAGATTAGAATAGCGTTTGAACTTAGCTTCTAAAATCTAAACTAAACCTATCTTATTGGAATTAATATGAATTTATTATGTAGATTTTATCTAAACTTAGCTTATTAGAACTTATTACCTCGAATTTAAACTTACCTGAAATTATTTCGCTTACAATAAATGAAGTAATTGATAATGATTAAACGTGAATTTCATTACATGAACTATTAACAAACCGACCCAAAAAATGTACCCGAACCTGATATGACCAGACCTGAAATCTAGCTGATACCCAAATTAACCCAATATTTGAGACCCGAACCCGAACATGACCTGATTTGGAAATGATCCGACCTGATTATAACCTGCAATTTTTTTTACTTGAACCAAACCCGACTTGAACCCGAACATGACCCGACTTGTAAATTACCCGACCTGATTGTAACCCGTAAATAATTGACTTGAACCGAACCCAACTTGAACCCGAGAATGACTCGACTTGGAAATGACCCGACCTGATTATAACCCACAAATTTTTGACTTGCACCGAACCCGACTCAAACCTAAGAATGACCCGACCTGATTATAACCCGTAAATTATTGACTTGAACAGAATCCGACTCGAACTCGAGAATGACCCTAACCCGTTTTAACCCGTGAAAACCCGAATTAAACCCAGCCTATTATTCACCCGACTCCAATGTAATCCAACCTGTTATTAACCCAACCTAAACCCGACCCAAACCTGATAGATGTATGACCCGATGATACCCGACTCAAGCATGACCCTACCCGAACCCGACCCATATAGGTTACGACATTAACCCGAAATGACCCGACCCGAGTTGACCTGACCAAACCCGACCTATTTACCCAAATTGACAGCTCTAGTCATATCACTAGTGCCACGTAAAATAACGTAGAGCATGTTTAACACCATTCCAGTGTCTTTGTGTGGATGTTGAATGGCTAACAAATTTAAACACAAAGGCTATATCTAGCCGCGTATTGTTAGCAAGATACATTAATCCACCGATAGCACAAAAGATATGGGATTTCAAGACCTGATATTTCTCCATCGGGTTCCCGAGGTCGAAAAGGATCATTGTCTACATTATGTGATCAAACTACCATGGGTGTACTTAATGGGTGTGCTTTATCAATATTAAAGCACTGTAGAACCTTTTCAAGGTAACTTATCAATAGATGACAATTCTACTTTTAAAATGCTCGAATTGCAAGCGAAGACAATACTTAGTGGTTCCAAGCTTTCATCTCAAATTCCTTTTTTTTTTTTTTTTTACATAATGTTACACCTAAAATTTAGATTTTTGACTTTTATTTGACTTTCTTGACTTTGACCATTTGAAAAAGCCTAGAGTCAGTGGAGGGTCTTTGGGCTAGTTTGATTAAAACATAACAGCCATTGGTATGATATCATACTAAGGCCCAATTATATATAGACCATATTAGAAAGCTAATGGATTATTTTAATTTTCAAAATAGAGTTGGCGCAAGATGCATAACCGTACAACAGTTATGGGATTCAGCTATAACCATTCCATTTTGCCTATAAATAGAAGTACAAGGACCAAAAGAAGACATCAACAAATAACTCAACCACAAGCATTTCATTTCTTTTAACCTTTCTTCTTAGCTTTCGTAGTTTTCCTTGGCTTAGTAGCCAAGCGATACTGTAGTTTATCACATAGTGTATTGAAGATCGTTCGTCTTTTCCAATTGTATGACCATGGAGGTAACCTCTCCTTCAACTTGTATAATTGTAGACCTGACTATATCCTTTCATTAATGGAATGCATTTGTATCTTTTGTCATATGTTTTTCTACTTGTTTCTTTGAGAAATCTAACTTGTTTTACTTCTTTTGGAAAAGCTTCCTTATTTATTTGTTTTATGTTATTAAGGTTATCAATATTTGAAACTAGTAACTCGAGAGGAAACTCCCTAATACTCTAGAACAAGATAGTGTATTCAACTTGTTGGTAAAGAGCAATATTTACCTCAAAAAATTTTTGGCGACCATAGTGGGAAAAAACTAGATTTAATCCATTTAACTCTTATTTAATTTGGAGGTTTTTACCATGGCTCCTAAGCGTTCAACACGTAAAGGAAACATTCAGGAAGATGTTAATTCTTCTAAACACAATCCTGAAACTATCTTAGAGGATCAAACAGATCTAGAGAATCAACTGCCAATGGAATACATGGTACACTCTTTCGAACCATTCGAGCCTCACACACAAAGGCAAGATGAATCGGCTTTAGAAGAAATGGAAAGCCAGTCCCCTACTAGACACTTACTCAACACAATTTACACTAAATATGTGGAAATTGATTAGGGGATTTTGCTCCCACCAATCGGAATG